CKSWGAMAAWWACRATGTAACAGYGGCTTAACTTACAAGCGATCCAAGRGGAAGTGGGATGAATCCCATTCGACGAGAAACCAAGTCAAAATGATCTGCATGTGCCTGTGAGAAAAACAACCATTGGTCAAAATTCCAATAGAACTTGGTCGGCCACAAAACAGTAAATTGAAATTCTTAATGATTAAAGTAATATTAAATARCTTTATTATTCTAAAATAAGGTAAATTTTACGCTGTAAAAAAACTACGAGAAGTAACTTGTTGACGGTTCGGATATTAGTCCTTCTGGATCCTTCGTCCGAGTCAAAAAAGACTAACGTCCGAAACGTCATTAAAATATTTCTGGTGCGTTTTTTAAGGTGTTAAATTTGTCTTTTTACAAAGCTGTTTCTTTAGAAACACCGACGCAGCTCACACTAGTTTACCGCTAGTTTCCACCATTAATAATCTTACTATAATGTTAGAGTCACAATCTCTTACATTTTTTTGTCTACTGGATGTTGCATCCTTGGCCAGTCTCGATCTATATTCTCTGTAAACCTGTTAGAAGCAATGATGTGCATGATAACTAMATAYTTTTCATCTAAAAGTAGGACGCACTTGGGCTGCGATTCACTATAATACTCTGAATATTTTCAAAATTGCACACTTTTGCATGAGGCCYACACWTGGAGCTGAGAACGAGTCATTTGAATTTTTGAAATATAGTTAAACTTGACAGTTYAATATCATTGCAATGGTACCTCAGGTTGGATGTCATTAAACTTGGTGATGAAAGCATGTTTTACCCAGTCCACAAAGTACTCCGACATTACAGTTGCAAACAGGTAAGGCGATATCACATGCAAATGTTCTGAACAAGAAAAAAAACTATTAATATAATGACGAATATGTCAGGGCAGTGAATATCAGGTTYAGTTTTCATTTACCTAGATTCCAGTTGAATTCTGTCAGGTTTCTGAGACAAACAATGCTGACTAGTATGAGGTAGTGAAACCTCTCTCTAATATCTGAAAAAAAAAAGCGATTTACCTTTTTTTTAAAGTTGATACGTCGACCTTTTTGTATTTAACGTCCACACGACCTACGGACATTTTTTTTTTTTTTTTAAGGATATATCAAGAAAACCAAAACCCTAATGACATGTACACTGCAGATACGGACTGAAATAAGATAAGTGTTACTTCTTTGGCATTTTAGTCCGAGTTCCATCCATCGCAAACGCTTTGAAGTTTTTTTGATAATCATATAATCCACATTTTATGGCATAAAACGTGAAAACTTGTAACCTGAGGGGATAACCTTCTAATAGTTAATTGTTGAAATAAAAACCAAAGTTAAAACCTTTTACTATATTACAATCAACCGTCACCTTGCAGAAACTCTCACTACAATCAAGCCATATCATTCACCTGTAAGCGTTCTTAAATGGTTTTACAGCGAGAAGACCTACTTACCGCTACAAGCCATTTGGAAGAGATTATTCCTCTCAAATCTTTTGAAAACGCTTCCTTTAAGCTCTACAAACTGTATAAAACATTACAGAACAATAAGAAATAAACATCCATGCCAATCATGGAATCATGGCAAAACATTCAAACTAAAGAATTCACAAAAGTGTAAAAACGTCACTTACCTGGTTTGACACAAGAATGACTAACAGGGCCTTATTGTGTGAATTGACAGCCACATTCAGACATGTTGCTTGGAACAAAACCAGCACAGCATGAAGAACTTTTAAAGTGTCAAGGAACTTACTATCATCATAGAATATTCTTATTCTTTATCATCAACCTAAAATTAATGTATACCAGGGTGTGTCCAGAGGGACATTTACCTGTCACCTATTTACTGAGAAACTTGCTCACTTGGTTAGCCACTTACCACAAAATGTACATTTTTGGGCTTTTCTCATTGATCACATATTGTTATCAGGTTCTAATTGAAAAAATCTCCAATACAGCCATACAAAAAAATTTACAGTTTTGAGTTGTATGTCCTCGCATTCACATACTCTTGGTGTACAGTATCACAAAACGTTCAACACTCATCAAGCGGGCTCACGAGTATAACAGGTGCATGCTGTTGCCATGCAAGAAAAAATAAAAATCCAAGCAAGTCTTTGTTCTACTGAATTGTACTAAAAGAGAATGAGTTTTTATTTATTTTTTATTTAGTGGTTTTGTTAATTTTAATGATAAAAGATGTGTTATCAGGAGATTAAAAACGTTTTTATAAACTTTTATTTTTTACTTCATATCTTTTAGTATTACCAGCACTAACTTTTAGGAGTGGTGATAAAATGGGAATTTTGTTTAATAATTTCATATTGTAAGGATACAGACATATAGAACACCCAGGGCAAAGTGAGGTAATGTACCAACATGTTGACGCTTTCTGTCCCTTGGTTCTGTTGCTGTCCAAAATAAAGCATCTAAAATGTCTTGACCAAAAGAAGAAAAAAGACGRTCTGCAACCTGAAGAAGCAAAGAATGATATATGTCAGTAAATACAGCAGCCTCAAATAGTGTGACAACCATAAAACTTGTGTATAAGGTGCTGATACACTGATTTTAATGAATTATGCCAAGAAATTTTACACAATGTAATCCCGGCAGCAGTTGTCTTGATTTTAGTTTTGTCTCAATAGCATTACATGGAGTAAGCAACTCCACTGCAGCCCTGCAATAACTTGCCTTGCAATAGGCCTTTTGCATCAATTGGTAACATAGCRCAAAATCCCCCATGATTTTGAACAGCAATTAGTATGTAAATGGGTATAAAAACAAAATCTTATAATGATCTCTATTTTATTACAATGTCAGTAAAATAGCTCAATCCTAAAAAGTACTAAAAATACCTCTAACATGTTGTAAATAACATAGAGCTTGATGACTGACTGTCCTCTCACTGTATGGTACATGACTGAAAAATCCACATACTCCAGCAGACAACAACACACCAGAATAATAGAAGCTGTATAGAAATACAAAGACATATGGAACAATAAGAATTATCCTTATTTTAATCTGTAAATATAACCTGTTCAATTCAATTCATATTTATCCTGCAATAAGGGATTACAGCTCTCCTCGAATACAATGGCTCAGAAAATTTCATTCAAAGGCATTCTGGAACGAGGACTACACTTTCCATCATGCTTTGCTCTAGGTAGAAAATGATATTGCTGCACATCGCCTTAACAACATTTGATTTGTGGGAGTGGCAATGGTCTAGGGTTAAGCCATRGCTTGAATATGGCTCAACAAAATATCATGGTGGATGGATGTTTGTGAATTATTGGTTTATTACTTGATACCTTGAATTAATAAAAAATGCAATATTCTTTTGTTACCTTTCAGTAGATCACATATCTGTGTAGGCTCCAGTAGTCTTGTCCTATGA